GGGGCTGGGGCTGAGACTAGGGCTGGGGCTGGGGCTGGGGCTGGGGCTGGGGCTGAGACTAGGGCTGGGGCTGGGGCTGGGGCTGGGGCTGGGGCTGGGGCTTGGGCTGGGGCGGGGGCTGGGGCTCGCACTGCACTGAGAGCTTCGTCCTCTGCAGGACCCTGGCTAACTCTGAGGGACAAAGAGTCTGAAGGAGAGGAGGTCAAAAGAGTAGGGCCTACATGTAAGAGACCTCCGTGCTGACGGGCTGTCAGAGGGGAAGCCAAGGGTGGAAGGGGCTTAGGGATGTGTGAGGGCGTGGCTGAGGGACTCGGGGAGGGGGCGCCTCCAGTGGCGTCGGTGGAGGACTTTCCTCTGCCCCCACCGCCTCCCCTCTGCTCCCTGCTCTGCTCTCCCTGGCCTCGCTGGGATCCTCTCCCTTCTCTGACCCGGTGGTCTGCTTGCTCCAGCGTCCCACCCAGTCCTGAGCTGAGGAAAGAGCCATCTCCAGAGCCATTAGCCCCAGCCTTTACCGCGTCATTGGCGTCTGTGGTCCCCTGCCCTTGAGACAACAGTGAGTGTCCACACTGAGACCCCTCTGGCCATGGGCCCGTGGAGCCTGGGGCCTGGCTGGTGCTCCTGGTGACAAGAACACCCTTCCTCTCCCAAGGCCAGCCTTCCACGGGGCCTGGGGGTCCCCGAGCCTCCCCGCTCTCCAGAGCCAGGACAGGAGCTGGTTGGAGGCTGCTCTCCCTGCGCCCCTTCTCTATGCCCTCAGCCGGGGCCCCAGGCTGTGTGGTGTGTGATGGAGGCAGCTCCTGGGGAGCAGAGGGCCTCTGAGAGCCTGTGGCGAGGCTGCCGGCAGCATCCACAGCATCCCACACACTCACCACAGCGCCCAGGCGCAGGGAGGCCAGCTGTGGGAAGTGGCGGCTCCTACCTCCTGAGCTGGGGTCCACCTGCCACCGCTGGCTGCCGGGGCCTCTCTCTAGGGAGCCGGGTTGCCCTACACCTCGTTGCCGGGGACTGGTGTCCTGTTCTGTGGCGGGAAGCAGGCCCTGGTGAGTTGGCGCCTTGGCTTGGGCGCCTCCCGCCTTCCCGTGTCCTTCCATCTCTCTGCCAGGACTCCGAGGGGTGAAGCGTATCAGGATGGGGCCAGGTATCCCCCCTCCTTTGCTCTGACCCAGGGGGGCAGTACCTGGCCTGAGAGGCTCTCTTCCTTGACCTTGGGGGGCTCCTGCCCTGGCATGACCTTGCTGCTGCCTCAAGGTCCCGCCAAGGGTCACCTCGCCAGCTGTCTTGAGTGGAGGTAGAGCTGTGGCAGCCAGACCTCCAGTTCCCCGGAGCTTCTGATCCTGGGTCCCTGGTGCAGCCGGACTCCTCTGGCCACGTCCCGGAGGGTCTAACTTCCCCTGCCCTGAGCTGTGTCCCTCGACACCACCACTGACCTTGGACTTCAGGGGCAAGGCTGGCCTGGCTCCTCCCGCCTGAGAAGGCTGGGCCCCGGGGGTTGTGGGTGCGGGTCCTGCTGCCTCCTGGTCCTGCCCAGAGCCAAACCAGTGCAAGGCCAGTGCTGTGGCACCCACCACAGCCAGCGCCAGCAAGGTCAGGACAGCGCCGTCCCAGTCATCCTCCCCGTCCCAGCCCCAGCCGAGGCCATCAGGCTCCAGGGTGCCCTGGATCATGGTGCTGGGCGGCAGACTCAGCCTGCGAGCCAGGTCAGCAAGCTGGAGGCTGTGTGTGGCTGCCTGCGGGGCGCTCCGCTGTCCGGCCTGGGCTGCCGTCCGCACAGATGGCATCAGCGACGCGCCCCGCCCACAGAGCTGCCCAGTTAAGGTAGACCTGGGCTGGGGGACTAGTCGCTCCGCCTGGCCTAGGAGGGGGTGGGTCTCTGTGCCCGCCCCTGGATTGGGGTTTGTCGGTGGAGCTATCAGGAGACAACATAATATCCAAGAGCTCCAGGAGCTTGGGGACCTTTCCAGGCCCACCTGGCCCCTTCTCCTTTCCCATGGGGTCCAGTGGCAAATGGCATTGTTCCTTAACACTGTTCCGGATCCCAGCCAACCTGCTTCTGCCTACAGACCCTCCAACCCCCCGGACTTCCACCCCATTATTCCAGCTCCGACCCTGGGTCTAGCCTCAGGGGCTCTGGCAGGGAAGAGTTACCCACAGGGAGATGTTATCTGTAGCTTGAGCAACATGATGCAGCCCTGATGAAATTACCAGAAACCCAAGAAGTCGGTTCCACTGTGGGCCAGCGGAGGAGGGGTGGAGAGGCATACAGCCCGTGGTGCCAACCCTGCAGGAGGGCCTCAGACTGGGGGACACCATGGAGGGCATTTGTCCTGACACTAAGCACTATCTTAGAAAGTGCAACCTCCTGTCACCTCGGCCATGAACTGGAGACTCGCACTCTTCTCTCCCTGGACGCAGAAGGGTGCTTGAGAGGGGCCCCCACCTCCCCTCTCCCAGGGGCCGCTGGACTTCCCTTACCCTGAGCTCAGCAGAGATGGGCTAGAGTTTGCTAAAGGAATTTGCTAAGCTGTCAAGAGGGGGAAAAATGAACAAAATAAAGAAAATCCAGAAGTTGTATTTCTCTACTGGCCTGGCTTATTACAACATCTGCCCTTTCTAGAGCCTCCTGGGCCTTCCCTGCACCCTACGGACCATCTTGACTACTCAAATGCCTCTCATGGTGGCCCCAGGAAGCCCTGACCCCAGCCTGCTCTTACCCCTGTTACCTCATCAGCCAGCCCCAGGATCCCTCAGGGACGCTCCTCTGACCCCAGCTAATCTATCAGCCTGACTTCCGGGTATCCCATCCCATTCCTTGGCCTTCCCTCATCTTAGTCAAATCAGGCCCCTCCAGTGTCCTCACTGGAGCTCAGCCCCTTGCAGGTCAGCACTGCTGCTGGGTGTGCATCTGGCCTCCCTCAGCGTGGTTTCTCGGGGGAGGAGCTACGGCTCTTCCCTCTGCTTCTCTCTTAACCTGATCTCAGGAATAAGTCTTGGGACAAGTGGGGCCCAGATATGAAAAAGAGCCAGGAGTCTCTGGGACAAAGGCAGGCCTCCCACAACATGTATTCATTACTTTTTCTAGGACACAGGGCCTCTCCCTGACTCAGGCAGCGAGGAGATGGCCAAGGAGCATCCCTGGCACCCAGCCTGGGCCCTGCTGGACCTCAGGTTCCTCACCCATCTCGTGGCCTCCCAGCTCCCCTGAGCATATTAGATGACAGTAGGAGGGTAGAAGGCGGGCCCATCCCTTAAGGTGGATCTCAAGTCGGTGGCAGGCTTTATGGACCTTGTACTTATTCCTGTCCCAGTCCCAGGGCCTGCCTCTTGGTTATTTGGGGTCCAAATACCTTGAAAAGTTGGAGATGACCTGCACCCCCTTATAGGCCACACGCTAGCAGGCATTTCTACCCAGCTTCTTCAAACACCTGTTGTTAGCAGAGCCCCGGGCTGCTGTCGGAGAACAGGAGAAGTGTCCAGCAAGTGATACCTTACGGTGCCATGGTGGGGAAGAACCAAGCACAGGAAATCACCCCAAACAATTTCACAAGGTGTCAAGGACTGTGATGGGTCTTGGTGGCACAAGGAAGGGTCTAGTCCCATCCTCTATGGAAAGAAAACACCTCCCTCTGTCAAAATCCAGGGGGAGGGCAAAACTCGGCCGCATGGAGAAACTCCCTATTGGGAAGGTGGCTGGGGACATGTTACCTCCCTAAATTGTGGGAGATTCGCCCTCCTAACTTTCCAGAGGAAGTAAAAATGTAGTGCCGCTGGAAAGGTAACAGAACATGAAGTCATCTAGACAAACTGTGAAACAAAAATTGTTCCAGTTGTGCCATGAGACAGTGTAAATATCCAAGTTACCATCAAGGTGAGAAACAACCAACCAAGAAAGTAGATGTGACCACGAGCGGCGCCCCGCTGCGGCAGGGATGGAGAGGGACTCCTGCCCAGTCCCTGAGGCCTCCGTTTCCTCAGGCAGCCCGAACAGGAATGGGGCGTCTCCTGCCGATCGGCGGCGCCGTCCGCACCCTGGGCGCGCGGGAAGAGAAGACGCACGCGCAGGAGCCGGTCCCCCGCGGCCACTCACGGAAGACCCCGGCGCCGCCTGGTCACGGAGCGTGAACAAGGCTGGAGGGTGCCCTGGCCGCCGCTGTGCCCCCCGAAACGCTAGGTGGAAGGAAAGCACAGTGACGGGATGACATAATTCCCAGTGGAGAGCAGCACACCCCACCAAATGTAGGGTTTTCTCTGTGACAGTCGTTTTTAAAATCAGGAAATACTATATAATCAGAAATGATTAAAAATATATTTAAAAAACAAAGAATATAATAAATAATCCTATACTGAAAAGTATACATGTATTTTTATATATGTATAAATAAATAAATAGAATAATGTTTAAGGCTTAGAAAATATAAATCCCAGATTTAATAATCACACCCCACAGGAACTACCTCTTAAGGAATTCATGTGACATGGGAAAAATTCATGCAAAAAAGGAAAATGTTATTAAAAAAAACAAACAATACAATATGATTTAAAATGGAAAAAGCTAAAATGTAAGCATTCAACAATATGGGAAGGATGAAAACATGCACATGATTTTAAGATGTGGCATTGGAGAGGCGCCTGGGTGGCTCAGTGGGATGAAGCCTCTGCCTTCGGCTCCAGTCGTGATCCCAGCATCCTGGGATTGAGCCCCACATCGGGCTCTCTGCTCGGCGGGGAGCCTGCTTCCCCCTCTCTCTCTGCCTGCCTCTCTGCCTACTTGTGATCTCTGTATGTCAAATAAATAAATTAATTAAATCTTTAAAAAAAAAAAAAAAAGAG